AGCATGGGGCAGAGCATGGCACAGAGTCAGGTTCAATGAATGGCAGGCACATATTTTATTATCAGCAGTTCTACTTGCTGTGAATTATAGAAAAGGTTAAGGAACAGGTTGAAGTGAAGTGCATTTAAAAGATACTTTAAAGGGAATATGAAGGAATGAAGGCTAGAAAAGTACATCACTGCAACACATTTTGGTGTCTGCCTGTGGTCACATGGGCTGATGTACAAGCAGGTGCTCTGTAAGCCTCAGTGCCCTGGGTGGCATCACTGCTCTGTGGCCGTGCAGCTCTAGAGCATGTGGCTATGGATGTCCTCACACGGCATGCTAGTTGGACTTCTGATTCCATCTGCCAAGTGAAGGCAAGTGGAGCTTGGTCACAAGGAGCACACATTAGTGGAGAAGACATGGGTCTGTGTGATCCTGGGAGGATGGGGGAGTGATCCTATAAACACGGTGACCAAGGCCACCTCGAACTATGGAGAAGCCACTCAGAGCACTGGGAGAAGGCCTGGTGAGGAACCTGGTCCTGGGACAAGCCCTGAGACTTTGGCCAAGTTTCACAACATCTTGGGCTTTGGTTTACTTATCCTCTGAGTGGATAAAGCCATCCCGGCCCCTCTGTCTTCCTCTCTGACCCTGGACAGGATCAATAGATCAATGGATGTGAAGGTGCTTTGTAAACTCTGTCATGCAAGTGCATGGCAGGGGGTGGGGTGGTGAGTGAGCCATATTTTCACCAGTGACATGAGTGAAGAGAGAGGGAAAAGGCTCAGACCTTCAGGGAATGAAAGAGGGGCTGTACCCTGGACTGGGAGAGAGAAGCAATGGTGGGATAAATACCTTGGAGAGCCAAAGACCAAGGGGTTAAGGGTCAGTAAGAACAGGCCTGGGTCATCAGGAAGCCGAGTGTGGCTCCATCAGGGCTTGGGTGGAATGGAATCAATCCAAGACGACAATAAATGGAATCCCAGAAAAATTATCTGAGGGCTAAATAGTAAGTCAGTTGTCAATCTACGACCAGAACTCAGGTTTTCTAATGCCCCATCCTATAAGCTTCCCAAACTGGCTTGTGTGAAGGAAAGAATAGAGAGCAGGGTGAGCTCTAAGGATGTGATGTCATAGGTAAGAAAAAGTGAAAGTGAAAGTCACTCAGTTGTGTCCAACTCTTTGTGACCCCATGGACTGTAGCCCGCCCAGGCTCCTCTGTCCATGGGATTCTCCAGGCCAGAATACTGGAGTGGGTAACCGTTCCTTCTCCAGGGGATCTTCCCACCCAGGGATCAAACCCAGGTCTCTCGCACTGCAGGCGGATTCTTTACCATCGGAGCCACCAGGGAAGCCCATAGGTAAGAAAACCGTCTAATCTAACACTTCCCCTGGCTTCCCAGTGATGCCCAAATCCCTCCTTTACCAACTCACTGGGAGGACTTTGAATCTCAAAGTCAGCTAGCCCATCTCTCCTCTCGACCTTCCAGGAAGGTTAGTAGTCCAGTGACAAAGCATTCCTCATCAAGGTCTATGGCAGAAGGTTCTCCATGAGATCAAGTTGATATATCTGCCTCACTGTAGCTTTCTACCATGTGTCCCAGTACACACGTCCAGGTGCTCTGCCACAAGAAAGCTCTCTGAATAATTGAGGACAGCTTCTGTGTCTCATTCCCTACTGTGATTTCCCAGACCACATTTCCCATGGTTGGTTTTCCAGCATTCTTCCTTCTTCACTTGGTGGGTCCACTATTCTATCTGTTCTCCATTTGATCTTCTCCGGAAGGTGTTATCTATTAATAACACCATGTACAACATGCTGGGGGCACAATCATTTTTTTAAATTTATTTTTTGACTGTACTGAATCTTAGTTGCTGCATGTGGGCTTTCTCTAGTTGCAGCACACAGCGGCTACTCTCTAGGTGTGGTGTATGAGCTGCTCGTTGCAGTGGTTTCTCTTGTTGTGGAGCACAGGCTCTGTGGCACGTGGGCTTCAGTAGTTGTGGCTTGCGGGCTCTAGAGCACAGGTTCAGTAGTTGTGATGCAGGGTCTTAGTTACTCCTTGGCAAGTGGAATCTTCCTGGACCGGGGATGGAACCCATGTCCCTTGCATTGGCAGGTGGATTCTTAACCACTGGAACATCAGGGAAGTCCTAGGGGCACAATCATTACAGCAAGTGGATCATTTCCTTCATCCCAGGGTGGCCATAGCTGCATCAATGCATCCTCAGAACACAATGGTTTTTCTGCATTTATTTTACAGTCTCCCATGTAACGTTGTAACTAAGACACCGCTCATTTACACATAGGCTCTACTGAGCCCCACCCTTTCATATCTCACACTCTAGCCTTTAGAGATCTAAGTAGAGGACCTCACACTCCTTGCCAGGAAATTTCACCTTTTTACCTTCAACCCACAATTCTTAGCAGCCCAGATCTTTCTGGAACCTGGTTCTGTCTCCCTTGTGTATTCTTTCTTTCCCCTCAGCTTCTACCCTCTGCAGCGAGGCCCTCTGCCTCTCCCTCGGAGTCACTGAGTTCCTCACCAGGCTAGACTCCTCCCCTGGCCATCTGCTGCCTGAAATACGTGATCCCACCCGTCCACCTCATGAGGTCTACAGAGCATAGCAACAGGGAACGTGCTGATGCCAGAATGTTAAAGGACTAAGTGTGTGCTAGTTGCTCAGTCGTGTTCGACTCTGCAACCCCGTGGACTGCAGCCTGCCAGGCTCCTCTATCCATGGAACTCTCCAGGCAAGAATACTGGAGTGAGTTGCCATTTCCTTCTCCAGAAAGGGACTAAAGCAGGCACCGTTTAATCCCAAAGGGCATAGAGAAAAGGAAGATGATTATGACAAAGGGTTATAAACAGTGACCTCTGTGTAATGAGATGGTAGGTGACTTTTCCCCATGTTTCATTACATATTTCATTCAACTAGTATTTAATGGAGGCCTTGTTGTCTATTTTTTCAAATTTTCTATGCTGAGTGTGTTATTTAGAAAACCAGAAAAAAAATAATAAAGTGAAGATGAAAAGAAATACTCTTTCCCTAGATGGACCTCAATGATTTCATTCCCTTTGGGAAGGAGCATTCAGGCTCTCCCTGCACTTATTAATAATTGACCTGCCTTCCCCCTGCATTTCCTGCCCAAAGGGCACAGGGAAATCTCCTTAACTGCCTTGTGGGAGCCCAGGCAGTCTCCAGGCAACAAGTGAGGAACCTTTGGTCCAGGAGGCATATGGCCCCTGGAAAAGAAACAGTAGGACCACGGAGAAGGCCTGCCCTCTGTGTTGTTTCCATCTAAGGGAACGAGTTTAAGGCAGTTTTCCTGCCTACAGGTTTTGTAAGAGGCTTGAAGAAAGCATAAGAGCTGTGGCCCTGGGTGGGCACAGTACTCAGAAAAGCCTCAGGTGGTGAAGAAAATGGCTCAGCCAGGAGGACCATCAATTGATCCACTTCTCAGGTTTCTCGAGGTGGGACCTGGGATGCAGGGCTAGGGTTCCTCCCTTTGCCCTCCTCTCTGAAAGCTAAACTTGGCCTGAAGGCTTCCCAGGTGGCACTAGTGGTAAAGAACCTGCCTGCCATTGCAGGAGTCATAAAGGACAAGGGTTCGATCCCTGGGTCGGGAAGATCCCCTGGAGGAGGGCATGGCAACCCACTCCAGTATTGTTGCCTGGAGAATCCCCTGGACAGAGGAGCCTGGCGGGTTACATTCCAGAGGGTCGCAAAGAGTCGACGCGACTGAAGCGGCTGAGCACGCACACACGTCGGATCCTCAGCTTAGCTGCAGAACCCGGCTCTGGTTTATCTTCCTCAGACCAGCAGAGGGCGCGCGCCACCCGCGAGAAGGAGGTTTGCAGCCGCAAGCCCGGAGGGGAGAGGCAGGCGCAGAAGGGGAGGTTACCCTCTGAAAATGAGAACGCAGATCCAAAGAGAACGTTGGAGATGCTGCGGGCGGGCGGGGGCGGGGGTTGGTGAGTGGGAGTGAGAAAACAAGTCTGAGTGAGGGTAGGATAGGGAGGAGAGGGGAGGTGGGGAAGGGGATGGAATGGTGATTGAGGGATGGTTGAGATGATGTGAAGATGAGAAGATAAGTTGGGGTGGAGTTTGGGATGAGGGAAGGAACTTGTGGAAGGATGGGTGCGATGGGGGTAGGTGGGATGCCAGGGCGCGTTGGGAGAAGTCAGGATGGGGTAAGGTGAGAAGGGGCAAGCGGAAGGCCCAGTAAGGCAGGCGGAGGAGGGGTCGGTTGCGAGGTAAGAGGGGAGCTGCAGCTGGAACCCACTCACTAGGAGCTCTGCACTCCCCTCCAGTAGCACCCAAGCCTGCCTGCCCTCGTTCTCTGGAGCTTTTCCTTGACAGGCCTTTCTGCGCACGCCTGAGCTGGGCGTCTGGTTACCTTCCTGCCCCCGCCCCGGACCCCTCCTGCCCCGACACCCCCCCCCCCACCAAGTTTCTGGGGCAGCTAAGAACAGAGAGAGGAAGCAGTGGGGAGCTTGGGAGCTTTAATAGGTCTGGAAGGGAATAGAAACACACTGCAGTCCTGCAGGAGGGTTGGGGGTGGGAAGGAAGGGGGCCTGGAAGCTACCTAGAAATGTGTGAGGTGCCAGGAGAGGAGAAGGTGGACTGAGCCGGGGGCCAGGGGGGAAATAATGAGAAAAGATTTGGAATTCGAGAGAGGGGTCATATTGGAGGGGCTTCCAGGAGCCAGAGGGAAACACAGATGGAGGGGAGGGGAAATCAGGAGAGATGCAGGGACCTGGGGTCTAGAAGATTAGAAGTGGGGGCACAGTCACCCTCCCTCAGGGGCTTCGGGACGAGGCGGGGGCAAATCCAGTGGTAAAGAAAGACTGAGGCGACGTCAGTCCCTTCCCGCCCGGGGCTGGGTGCAGCGGGTGGAATCAAATCTGAGCTGGAAAGAACGGAGGGGGAGGCCCCGGCCCCCTCTCCCGTATGAGGGTGGGGTTGAGCGAGGCTCCCGGCGGCTGGGAGAGGCCCCCGGGGCACCCGGTCTAGTGGTAATGGCCCCCCAGGTGCGAGGCCGCGGCCACCGCGCCGAAAGGCCCGGGCGGCGGCTGCAAGCCCGGGCTGGGGTAGAGCGCAGCGGTGGCGGCGGCCGTGGCGGCGGGGCCCGGGCCTGGCCAGTAGGAGAAGCCGGCGGGCGCGACTCCGGCCGAGGCGGCCATGAGGTTGAGTTTGGAGAGGCCGGGGAAGGGCAGCGGGGCCAGACCGGCCGGCAGCTTGTAGAGCGCGCCGTCCTGGGCGGCGGCGGCCGCGGCGGCCGCGGCGGCGGCGGCGTGGGCGTGCGCGGGGGGCGGCTGGCAGGCCTGCGCCAGACCCTGGAAGTCGAAGCGGTAGGCGTAGCGCTTGCCGTGCACCTTGCTCATGATGTTCTTGTCGTAGTAATAGCGCAGCGCGCGGCTCAGCTTATCGTAGTTCATGTTGGGCTTGCTCTTGCGTTCGCCCCAGCGCCGCGCCACCTCGTCCGGGTCGGTGAGTTTGAACTCGCCGTGGCCGCCCTCCCAGGCGATGCAGCCGGCGTTGGCGCGGTCAGCCAGCAGCTCCAGCAGAAACTGCCATAACTGGATCTGGCCGCTGCCTGTGGGGAATGGGGCGGTCAGCCACAGGCGGGATGAGGGAGGCAAGCGGCGGGAAAGAGGTGGGGTGCGAGAACCCACCACTCCCCCCGCCCAAGTCGGATGTGGGGGCCGGTGTCAGGGAGGAAAGGGGCACGTCCAACTGAGTAACTGGGCGCAGCTGGAGCGGCTGGCCAGGGAGGAGATGATCAGCAAAACCGTCCCTCGGCAGTACCGCGCTTTCGCACAATGGAAACGCAACCCCACGGGCGCACAGCTTTGCAAGAATTAGGGAACGAAGGGAAAGCACTTCTTCCGTGTGGGGGCCGCGGTACTCCAAGGCACAGGGCTCTTGGAGGTAAGCGAAGGCGGGATATCACCCCTCGGCCTGAGAGCCCTTACCGGGTGCAGAGCCTGCATAACCGCTCGGGGTAGTCTACATAGGTGGTTAGCTAGCCACATCCCAGCTGGACCATGTCCAGAAATCCAGAGCGAAGAAGTCGGCCTGCAGCGGGATCACTCGGCCCACGGGACAAGGCATACACTTGAAACCTCTGCCTGAGGTGGAGAAGAGGTGATGTCTGGCTTCCTTGCGATACCATGTCAGACTGGGATGGGGACAGTGGTTCCCTAAGTGTGAGAGGAACGTCAGCCTCTGAAGTCTCCCACCCTTGCCAGCGTCTGGTGCTGGGGCTACTCCAGTTCAGCCTTTTTTTTTTTTTTTTTCCGGAACAGGCCGGATTCCCAGGGTACCAAGGTGTCAGTTCCCAGGGGACATGATACCCAGCTCTGAGGAGAGGAGACCCAGACGCTTCTGTGCTTGGCTCCCTGCCTCCGCCCATCTTTGGCCAAACTCCAGGCCCTTCTGCCCTGTCCAGATTTTCAGGGTTGCTAGAAAGGGCCAGGAGGTTTTCCCAGATAAATGGGTAGTGAGAACTTCTGTTTCTCTGTCTTGGAGCCTCAGTCAGACAAGTGGAGAAAAATCTTGACAGAACTAACCCCCCCCCACCCCCCACCCCACCCCCACCACACGCTCACCACACCTCACCCCACCACACCCCACCCCACCCCAGTCCTCACACCTACCAGCATGTATACACACACTCTTTCAGAATAAAATGGATTTTCCTCGAAGTTGTCTGATTATTGTTTTAAATTGAGCCTGGTGAAGCTCTCTTCTGTTTTCAGTGATTTCCTCAGAACCCAGATGCTGCCCTCCACCATAATTTTGACCCCAATCCTTTCACACCAGCTCTGGGAGGGGCTCCCTGGCTCCAGGGCGGGAACACTGCATTTTAGGGTCAGAAGCGCAGCAAGGGGTGGGGGAAATGTGCATCTGGTACTGAGAGATGTAGAGGCCTGGAAACTCATTCCTGTTGGGTGTTGTGCTCCCTTTTAGATAAAGCAGTTGCTGGCCTTGTTTTTCTGGTCATGGTAATTATCGGTCACTTGATGAGATCTAGGGTACCAACTGTGGGGCTTCCCCCCGTAAAGAATCTGCCTGCAATGCAGGAGACACAGGAGATTCATGTTCAATCTCTGGTTCAGGAAGATCTCCTGGAGAAGAAAATGGCAACCCACTCCACTAATTCTTGCTGGGAAAATCCCATGGACAGACGAGCCTGGTGGGCTACAGTCCAAAGGGTCACAAAGAGTCGGACATGACTGAGTGACGACGCATGGGGTACCAACTGGGCAGGGACCATGGCAAAGCCAAGGGTAATTTAGCGACCAGCCAAAGGCGGGTGACACCTGAAATGGCCTAGAGGACTTGGCTCACGGAGCCGGGCTGGCCAGGCCAGTGAGGTAGGTGGGCGCTGGCCCTGGTGCTAATGGTGACTCAGCCTGGAGTGGCCTGAGAGTACTTCTCCGGGGTCACCTTGCTGGGTGGTGTCCAAGCCTTGTGCTCCTGCTGCCAGTAGGGAAAGAATACCAAGCACCAGAGCAGGAGAAAAGCATTCCCAGCTGAAAACGGGCAGGCCGGGGTAGGGTGGGGTCAGCAAGGTCTTCTCAGTCTGCCCTGGCCGGCAGGGTCAACACTGGGTCTCAGAAGCCAGAGCCAAAGGCCAAATGAATGTTTCCCACCCCCCACCCCCCCAGCCCCCCAGTCCCCCAGCCTCCCGACAATCAGGCCCGGACCCGCCGTTTCCCAAAGCCCAGCGTTCCACATCGCTCCCACCCGCCGTTGGGGTGACAGTGGCGCCTGTGGGTATGCGGCGGGTGCCCGGAGACCCCATCCTCAACTCCGCCCGTACACTCTGGCGGCCAACTCACCTTTCTGTACCGCGGGGCTCAGCGGTCCCCAGCCCGGGCTCTTTCCTTCTTTGAAAAGACCGTCTCCGACGGGATCTGTGGCAGCGAGACAAAACAGTCAAGCGGATCCAGGCGGAGATTGCCGACTTGACCGAAAGCCCCCCAGGCCAAGGCTCAAGGGGGAAGAGGGGGGTGCCTTGGTTCCCGGGCGAGAGGCTGGGGGCCCTATTCGTCCGGCTCCTCCTCCCGGAGCCTGGCCCGGGCGCGCGCCGCGCGGAGCCCCTCCATAACGCCCAAGTCAGGAAACGCGTCCAGGAAAAAGGAAATCCGCTTTCCGAACGGGCCGGCGGGAGCCTTATAAAGCCGAGCGGGGTTTGCGCCAGCCGAGCTGGAGCGCGCAGAGCCCACCGGAGAGGAGAGGACGCCGGGAAGGCTGGGCTGGTGGGAAAGCTCGGAGCACGGAGGTGAGGAGCCACGAGGGCGCTCGGGCCACGCCCGGCTGACCACAGCCCCCCAACACTGCACGCGCGCTCAGTCCCTTGCAACACTGAAGACCCCTGCTCCCCTACCAGGCTCTTTCAGCCCCTGAGCCGGCGCTCCTGGCTTCCCAGGCTCTCACTGTGCTCACTTCAAGTCCTCTAGACCTCACACTTAAACCTTAAAGCGCTCCATCTGCTTTTAAGGTTTCCTGATGCCCTAGCTGGCTCAGTTCTGCCAGCGATCCGAGTCCCTGGACCGCGCCCCCTTCCCTTGGACCCCAGCATCCCCGTCCCAAGCCCTAACCCAGATTTCCCGCCCCGGGTCCCGGTGCCTCCAGCCCCCAGCTGGTCCCTGGTACCTGGCAGGTACATGTTGATCAGCAGGGGCTGGGAGGCGCCGCTCTGTCTCATCGCCGCCAGGGACTGGGTGGTGGGAGGTGGGGGGGGGGGAGAATGGGAGGGGGGGGGATCGCGTCAGGCTTTGAGCTCCGGGGCACAGATCCCCGCCCGAGGCGACCGAGGTGACTGGGAGAAGAAGGCGGCGCTGGGTCCTGCAGGGCCTGGCGGGAGGGGGCTGCCCGAGTGCGGCGGGGGATGTGGGGTGGGGGGGTCCTGGAGCGACGCTCCCAGCTACCAGGCTGTTCGGAACCCTCCGGCCCCCAGCGCGGGCAGGGGCCGCAATTTCCGTTTTAATTAAAGAGCTGCCGCCTCGGCCCCCCGGACCCCGCCCCCGCCCCTCTTATCGCCCCATCGCAATAAAGTCTCCAACGTGCCGTGCGGCAGCCAAGCGCGCCAGGCAGCCCCCCGCACCCCGCAACCCGGGAGACGCGCGGGGGATGGGCCTGGGCCTGGCGCTCTGACGGGGGTCAGGAGCCCATTTCTTTTCCGCCTCCCTGACTCTGAGCAAACAGCAACGGGGTGGACTACCCCGGCCCCATCTCGGACCCCCGGGGCCACAACGCGGGGAGGGGGAGGCTCACTCCTCATCCATTCCCCCCACCTCACTGCTCCACTCTCCTCCCCTTCCTCTCCCCACCCCTACCCGGGTTCCCGTCTCCAGGCTGCGTTATCTGCATCTTCACTTTTTAAATTTCCGCTTCCCTCCCTCTCGCCTGTCGCTGCGCTCCGGGTCGGCAGCCGTTGCTCTCTTTATCTAACCCCCTTCCATCCTCGCTACTTTTCCCTCCTCCTCCTCCGCTCTCTGCTCTTCCCTAGAGACCCGATCTCCTTCACTGTCTCCCTCTTGTTTCCCCGGGTTTCCTGTCTTTCCAGGGTTCCCAGGCCTCTGGGCCATCACTGGGGTGTCGCCCTTACAACTTTTAGTGGGTTGCCCTTCTTTTCCCTTTCTAGGTCTCTCCTTCTTTCATCTAGTCCTCCTCCCCCTCCTCCTCCTATCTCCCCTTCTGTCTCCTCTCTACCTCTCCATCCTGTCTCTCTCTTTCTCTTCCTTTTCTCATTGATTTGTTCCCACTGATTTGTGGCATATGATCTTCCTTCCATTCCCACCCACCACAACCACTTCTCTCCTATCTTTCCCCATCTCTTGTCATCCCAGCTTAACCATCTACCCTCACAACTACTCCTGATTATCCCTGAACTAGGCTGCAATTGGCACCTTGCTCTAACAGAAGAGGAGTTAAAATAGGTTTACTGTACAAGGCCCCTAACCCAGGGAAAGTGGAAGTAAATCCACTCTGGGAAAGGGACAAAGGCAGGTATGTGGTTCCCAAGTGGTGGCCTGGAGTCTCTGTATACAGGTGAGGCTTCCTAGCTCTGGAGAAGTGCATCTGGAGGGATGCTGGCTGAAAATGAGGCCCTGGGCCGGGAGTACCACCTGCAGCCATACAGCATCTGGTGACTCCAGGCAGAACTGATAAACTCAAAGCCTTTCTTTCCCAATGCTTAACTCGAGGAGACAGGAGGCCTGGACTTCAGGGCACTTGGATTGGAGTAAGCAGGTTACCTGTAAGATCCCTGGTCCTGGGATGCCTGGCTGAGAATGGCTGGGAAGTCCAGCTCAAGGTGGGGACCCTGTGCATTCTTCACTTGGTGTGACTGCTGGGTTGTTCCTCATTCCTGGTGGAGGATACAAAAATCAGAAGGAGCCAAGGAAGAGTGTGGGAGGAAATGGGGGGATCCCAGGACCCTAGAGGATCCTCAAGGGATACAGATAGAGGCTTCAGGATGTGGAGGTGGAATCTGGTGGGGAAAAGATGAGCAGTTGGGATGCTGGCTGGGGACAAAATTCAGGGCTTCAAAGGAGCAGAGCATCTTGAGGGTGGGGCCAAGGTCCTACTCCCTCTCCTTCAAGCCTTCTGTCACTTCTCCAGAGAGAAAATGAGGAGACCAGCATTGCAAGAGTGGGGAGACAAAGTCTCACTCACTTAATGGTCTCAGCAGAAGGCTGAGGGAGAAGGGAGAGGCACTTAGAGTGGGGGTCTGTCCAGACATCCCAGCTCCGAGCTGGTGAAGGACCAACAGCTCAGGCTTTGCCTCATCTCACTGAGGACTGAGCGGCTGAATGAGGGGGTGGGCTATCGGAAGAGCTTGTGAGAGAGTGAGGGGTGAGCTCCGACCTCATGTGGATCTTGGCTGTATCCCCAGAAATGAGATGATTTCCTCCATCCACTTTGGTCTTTGGCTGAGTGCAACCAATGAGCAGGTCTAGGCAGCTTCCACCATCGCCTCCCACCTGACTGGGTGTGGGTCCCACAGGGTTCTGCACACTCCATCAGCCTGCTCAGAATAGGAGGATGGAAAGGTGCTTCCCTGATGGCTAGTGGGAAAAAACTCTGCCTGCAATGCAAGAGACACAGGAGACATGGATCCCTGGGAGACGCAAGTTCTAATCCTTGGATCAGGAGGATCCAAGGAGAATCCTAGAGAATAAAATGGCAATCCACTCCACTCTTCTTGCCTAGAAAATTCCGTGGACAGAGGAGCCTGGCAGGCTGCAGTCCAAAGGGTCTCAAAGAGTTAGACACGACTGAACGACTAAGCACGCAAGGTGAAAACACCCAGGCCCAGCCTGGCATCTGTGCCTCCTTCTCTTTAGTTGCTGGTGTGGAGAGCAGAGTTGGACCCATGTCTAAGAAAACCTAGAAGGTCCATTCATGCTGGCAAAGACTGCAACAAATATTAGCTCTCCCAACTCCTTCATTGTACAGGCAGGGACACTGAGACCTAGACACAGGGTGCGCCCTGATCAGTGTCACACTGCAAGTTCCCAAAGGCACCTTGCTGGGTGTTTTTGGTAGTCATGGACCTTCCTGGAGGGAGGGCAGCTCAACTGATGGAGTACACCAGATCTCCCTTTGCCCATTGCCTGCCCCAAAGCAGGTGGTGGGGAGATGACTTGCTGGGCTCTGAGGCCAGTTCACCTGGGTCTGGGCTCAACTCCCCCATTTTCTAGTTTGTGTGGTTTTGGAGAAAGTTACATCACCTCTGTACCTTAGTCTCTTCATCTGTTAGATAAGGATTAGAATACCAACTATACAGAATTATTAGGCTTATATAACATGCTGAGTGCTCAGATAAAGTTGCATATATGTAGCTGTTAATATTACCAACCCCCAAGGGCACAGTTAAGAGCCTGTGACCATGCAGGAACCCCATACTCCTCTGGAGGACACAGAGGTTTGGGGCTCTGCTGAGGCCCGAGGCTTTTGACCACAGCTCAGATCAGCCTCTACTTAGTCTGGATTTGGGGTCAGAAGCCCTGTGTTCAGGTCCTGGCTTTGTCACCAATTAAATGGATAACCTCATCCATTTAAGGCTTGTCCCTCTCTGAGGAGCTCGTTTCTTCATTGGTGAAATTGGTGAAGAATGGAAGCTGTTAGAGGAGGATTAAATGCAACAGGGGCCATGGACTCTTGAACCCATCCAGGTGTAAAGCAGAATTCATACTCCATCTAGAACTCTGTCCTCGGTCCTCTGACCCAACCTTGAGATCCATAGCGGAAGACAGGGCCTATGGTAACTGTCCTAGTGCTTTTCTGAATCACAAGTATTTTCAGGGGGTCCTTCTTGAATCCTCACAATCCTTGTCCTGTGAAAGAGACAAGGCAGGAATCTGGAGCTCCATTTTCCATGTGAGGGAATTGAGACTCGGGGATGTTATGTGGCTGGGTCCCAGGTGTTCTGGCTTCTGGTTCAGGGGGGTCTACCCAAGGGAGCAGATGCCTAATTTTCCCCAGCTGGGCCCCTGGAACTGCCCAGGTCCAAGTCTGAGTTCTCTTCAACATTGCCTTGACTCCCCCAGACAGAGGCAATGATCTGGGCTAACCCTCCCTGTGGCTAGATCCACTAGCGGCTTGAAAATTCAAGCATCCCTGAGGGACAGGATGAAGGGCATCCTAAGGGTCTTGAATGTCCTGCCTATGTGGGGCTGAGATGATCGTAAACTGGGTCAAAGACGGAGCTAGGAAGAAGCTATACTGGTGCCATGGACTCTAATGGCTGCTACCACACTCAGCCCCCAAAACATGGCTATGGGCTTCTACCACCTACCCCGGAACACAGGCCCGCTGTGGTCAGTGACTCGGGAGCGGTCTCTCCAGCTCACTGGTCTTCTGAAGAGTGGGAAGGAAGAATGAGGAGGGAGTTGTTTGAGACAGCTGAGAGGCAAGGAATGAAGATGTTTTGTAAAATTCTGGAGCTCACTGCCACATGAAGGATTGCTATTCAAAGGTTTGGGGCTCAGCTTAGAGACAGGATGTCTCCCCTAGAAAGCAGTGGGACCTCCCACCAATTACCCCTCTCACACCCTTGCTCCTCTGTCAGGCGGAGATTCCACATAACTCGGAAATGGGTGCAAGTTTCCCTTAGGGAGCCAGGATGAAGAGAAAGGCTGGAAATGCCTGTGAGGGGTGGGGGTTAGAGAGGGGCCCAAAGGGGCTCCTGCACAGAGTTAAGGACGCCTTGCCCTGTATGATGGTGCCTGGCCCAGGGGGGCTGTGTGAAGGTTGAAATTAAGCTATGAGCCTTGCCATGGCATTGTGTGAACCCAAACCAGAGGATGGCAAAGGCACTATCTGGGCTAGCAGGACCCCCTGGTCCAAGCTGAGAGGTCTCTATCATGGAGAGGTGTGGGGCTGGCTGCATTTAACAAGTTCCTCAGGATGGTTAGCAGCAGTTTCATCTCAGCCCCATCTCAGTCACTTACATCCTAAGCCAGTGTATGCTCCATAGTCAAGGATCCTGGGGCCCAGGGGAATGGTCAGGTTGGCGGAGAAGGACTCTCAGAAAGATGAAGGTGAAGGTCACAAAATAAGACACTGAGAAGGAGGCAAGAGGGGCAGGCAGGTTCAGGAGCCTTTATTGAGGGTCCTCGGGGGAGGCTCTGGGGCTGTGAGACTTAGTGCTGGACTCTCCGGATGGACTGCAGCTGCCCGGTGTGGGCCTGCGTGCCG